TAAATTATTCATACCTGTACCAAGTTGTGCAATTTTTCAGTACTGTACAGTATGTGAAAAGATGTTTTGTCCTGATTTTTGTTTCTTGAGAATTTGAGAGAGAGGGAGACTCAGAGGGAGAAAGTGAGAGATGGAGAGAGACAGAGATTAGAAGATGGCAAGAGACAGAAAGAGAAAGAGACATCAAAGTGGATTCTAGGCTAATTATTGCAATGGGCTATGGCTTAGAATAATATCCAAGCCCGGCTTCCAACGGACCCCACGGAGGAGAGACGAACAGTGAGAAACGTGGCATGAATCGCTAACGTGGGCCTGTTTTCACTAGCTCGAGCTAGCAAATTATCCCACTACTTGCAGTTTTGAAACTGACTTGATTTTAATAATCTTTAAGCTATTTGGCAAATGGAGACAAAAGGAACCCAAATTCTAGCTTTATTGCCCCTAAAACGTTCATCAGCTCTGTGCATGCATTTTTTGTACAGAACTTGTACACATTGGCCCAAATTCACAAAGGAGGTTTGTCAACAAACCTACTGTAGGTTTACGTCATATGATGCGTTTTGATGCGTTTCAGACCAAGGTTAAGACAAACCTTGGTCTGAAACATGTTAATTAGCGTCATATGACGCACATAAACCTAGGTTTGTCGACAAACCTCCTTTGTGAATTCAGGTCTGTAAGTCTTGGGGGTATCAGTCTTCCCTTGAAGAACACCTGAAGAAAACCACAACAAATGTTATCGATCCAGCGCCGCCCTCCATCTGACCAGAGAGCGCAAGCACAAAACTCACACTTCGGCCCAAAAAAATAGAGTCGATGAAAATGCAGATCTGCAAACTTCAGGCTAAAACAATCAGTTCGTTATTTGGTCAGCTTGAGATAATGAAAACCCACCTAGTATTAGGCACGAAGGGGTCCATCCATTATACAGTAATCTCCCTGGATTATACATGTATCGTACAGTCAGTAGGCTCTTCACTACAGGTCGAGATGCTAATCGCATGTCAGAATGAGAAATACAGCGGCTACATGTACACCTTTCTGATATTTAATTACAAGTGCCCTGAATCTGTCATGTACATGTAGCAACCTGGGTAATATTGTGGATGGACTTGAATTTACCTTGTTTTTGAGGCCTCTAAAAAAGGCTAAAGGCCGATTTCCATGAATTCTATCTGCCCCTGTACATGTAGGCTTTGAGTGGGATTCTTAGCACTTAGAGTGTTCTTTACTAGTACTTGCAAGTTTGAAATTGATTTCATGGTAATCACATTTCAATCAATCTGCTACATTAAACATGCATAAACATGTACACATGTGTGCGTGTAGGCCTCCATTGTTCATGTACAAGTACTGTACATGTACATTATGTCCATATTTCTGTTTTTATTTTTGTCATTTACATGTATTGCATCTCCTGCCCTTTCTGCCACCCCCCCCCCCCCCCACACTTCCTTTCTCTCTCTCTCTCTCTCTCTCTGTTGCTCTAACATTATTTCTTTATCTCTCTCTCTCTCTCTCTCTGTGTATCTTGCCCCCTCTACATCACATTTCCTTTTTCATCCATACTCATTTATTAATCTCTATTTCTCACTCACAAACAAACGTACAATGAAACAAGAACAGCAATCAATTCAAATTACAAGCAATACCTTTCCCATCCAAACCTAATGCAAAATGCAAATACAGCGTCCGAACTGAAACGGCTATGAACAAAGGACGCTACATTCGTCATTACTTATCAATGAAGTTGACAATTTCACGCAGACATCGTCATCACGTTGCCGCTCCAGTGAGCGAATCCATGCGTCTTAATTGCAGATTACCCCGAGGGCGATATATAACGGAGCAGCAGGACCGCTAAATTTATTATTTTGGCATGACTAACGCAACAGTTTTTGAAGCCCCCTTGCTTGCCATGGTGTTTGAGTGAGGTGGCCTTGCCTCTGTTGCTCCACTCATTTGTTCCTGAATGGTTCACCAGCCTCCCATACAATCTGATTGGAGAAATCACCCCTTTCACAATAAAAAAATTATAATTCATACATGTACATGTACATGTAGTAGTGTACAATATTTATCCTTGTACAAATGTAAATTTAGGCCTTCCTGTAATCATTGAATTGCAGATTACCGGTACAGATTTGCATTGTTTACAGGTGCATTTAAACATAAAACATAGACTTCCTTCTCACCCCTCCGTCCTCAAAGTTCAAACAGAAGTTCAGAGTTCAGTACAGAATGTCTTGACTAAAATGTACAATGTAATGTACATACTGTATGTACAACCATGGGCGTAAATCTGTAATTGATACCTATTGTTCCGGGGGATGATCTATTCATTCCCCCCCCCCCCGAACAATAGGTATTACGTAAGGATTGACGCCCATGTGTACAACTGTACATGTATATGTACACCTGTACGTGTACATGTACAGTGTACATGTACACTGTATGTACAGTCTGATACAGTGCTTGCCTACATGTACTGTATTGTACACTGAAGACTTTTCAATTGTAGGCTGGCCAACAACATTTACAAATTTACAAATGTTGTATACATGTACATGTACATTGTACATTGTACCACTCTCCAGTCTCCACTCATGTGAAGTAGAAACAAATTCCTTGAATGATATGTAATGGCAGCCTTGCTAAAGCCAGGGTAATAATCGTGGAGCGCCAAGAGTGTCAAATTTGACAGACATGAGGGCTTTATACAAGAACACACTTTTATTATTATTATTATCATTTAAAGGCCTACACTGTTCATCATCATGGAAAAGGCTACACGTCTGTTTACCATGGACTATTTGGACATGATAAAGGAAAAAATTAATGACCATCGAAAGGTGGCAACAACAGTCAACAGCAAACTGATGGTGTAGGCTTACATGTAATTGAATCATTTCCAATTATTTGAGATATTACTGTCCCTTGTGAATGGTTTCCGTTGTATTAAGTTCTTCCTTTTCCATTTGTCAAGGATATACTGTACACAGAAGCTCATTGAGTCTCAAGTATCTCAGGAATTCATTTCCTTGTTGATCAGAATCTCCAGACAGGAAATGCAAATATGTACATTACAATTGTACTTGTGTGCATAAAATGTAATATGCCGGATGCATGCCATACACATTATGGTCCATTAGCAGGAATCCAGAATTTTAATTTGTGTACCAACAGTAGGGGTGCTGGTGCGAAAATGAGGATCGTCCGCATAAACGAGGATATCCTCGTAAATGCAGACAAAATCTCACCAATAGTAACGATTAACCGCTTTTCGGCGCTCCTTATTTTTTTAGGATGTGTCTGTCCTCATTTACGAAGACGATCCTCGTTTATGTGAACGATCCTTATTCTCGGACCAGCACCCCTTCTGATGATACATGTAATTGTATAAAGAGAAAAGTTACCGGTAAGGCCTATACAAAAAAATGTTTACTTCTTGCTCTTTTTGAAAGTAGGACGAGGCCTTTTTTCTTTTTTTCTTTTTTCAAAATGGCCGCTCGGTAAATTTTCCCCGACCCCCTGGATAGCCAGTCAAGCTATTTTTCAAGATGGCCACACGCATTTATGTTGTTTTTTTGTTTTTTTTATTTCAGAAAAATACCATTTTAGTGGTATGTTTTTCATGTGTTTTTTTCCATTTAAAAAAAAAGGAAGAAAAAAAATTGAAAAAATGAAGGAAAAAACAAATTTGCTCTCAGCCATAAATAACAGTTATTGTTACTTGTTATTGATAATAACAAAATTTGTAAAAGAGGGCCCACTTGTAGGTATTATACCGGTAACTACATGTACATTCACCTTTAGTCTTGGGGTCAAAACAAGTACACTGAACAAGTATCAAAAGTTCAAATCACAATCCTATCTGATTGCTGTTCCAAACAAAAAACAAACAAAACATTGCTCACCAAATCTGTGAGAGTACAAAAATACGAAAACAAACATGAAAAACAATGACCTGGGACAGGTCACCAATGGAATAATAAGAAAAGAGCCTTGAACGTTTCATACAGTATATTCACAGTATGAAATCTCAGAGGAATGTCATTGTTTGTGTAGGCATTGTGTAGTCATAATAGATACTTCCTACTGAAATATGTACATGTGTGGGTGTGCACGGAATGGGTACTGTTACAGACGGCATGTACAAATGTACCCAGATGGTCTTCATTACAAAGTTCACAGAACTTTGCAGCGTTGTTTGGGTTCACAAGCAGGGTATGATAGTATGAAGAGTACATTTCAGGTATCAAATTGTTGCACCTCAATCTCTGCCACTCCTCCCGTATCCCTCGCTGCCTCTCCCCCCCCCCCCCCCCCCTTCACACTTTCTCTTTATCTCTCTCAGTCTTTCTCTCTCACACTTCACTCCCTAAAAATAAATGTACAAGCACAGTACAAGTACTGTACATGCAGACATCAAGAAAGGATCTTACCCCAATTTTCAGGGTTTCAGAACTTACATTGACTATAATAAAGATCTTGAATATCGTCTTGCAAAAAAGAAAAACAAACTGCCCTTGCACTTTTAAAAATGGAAGTTTGTCTAATAATCCTGTTTTATAATGTTGTAAATGTTGTAAATTTACTTTTCGTGAGGTTTTGATCTGCGTTTTACTGCTTTTTTTTTAATGTTTTTATAATAACTTGTAAATATTGTGATTGTTTTTTATTGTTCAATAAAACACATAAAGAAAAAAAAAGAAGAGAAAAAAAAAGGATCTTACTCATGCCCTTGGCGGTGGTTCTCACATCCATACAACGTACAGTAGGTTCCTATACTGTACATAATCCAATGAGTAGTGAGTAGTGGGTTTCCCCCTCCTCTCTCTCTCTCTCTCTCTCTCCCCCCCCCCCCCCCCCCCTTTCTCTCGCCCTCTCTCTCCTTCCCCTCTTTCTCTCGCCCTCTCCCTCCCTCTTTCTCTCTCTCTCTTCCTCCCTCTCTCTCTTTCATCTTCTAACATACAAAAAAGAATGGAAGAAAGACTTACACTTTTGCGCTGGAGGGGGGTTCCCATGCCAGCTCCCCGGTCCTCAGGTTGCCGTACATGGGCCGCTGTGTCTTGGGTTCGATGATCTCCACCCATTCTACCCTGTAAACATAAAAACAACAAAACAAACCAATATCAACAACAAGGAAATTCTAGTTTACGTCATTGTGTTCCAAACAGCCATTTGAGAAATCCTCCACCCTAATACATGTAGTACCCGATAAAAAGATAAGCAACAAAGTAAATCAATATTAAAAAACATAGAGGAAATTAGTCTAAAACAGCCCTCTACCCATTCTACCTTGTAAAACAAATATAAAACATAAAACAAACAAATAAACATAAACATAAACTATGAGGAAATTGTAGTTTGTATGATGTCCCAAACAGCCCTTCAAGAAATTCTCCGCATATATATACACAATGTATAGGTACACTACAATGTACCGGTATGTACAGTACAAACTGTACAAAATGTATTTCAAATTCATGCACAGAGTTAAAAAGGTTGGGGGTAAAAAAAAGGGTAATAAAAGGTAAAAAAAGGGTAAAAAGGGTAAAAAATTGGTCAACAATTCACTCAAACAAGAACAATCAAGGACGTGCAGGTGTGCAAATGTATACACAAGTCATCCATTTTGTTTTTCATTCTTGTTTTGTGCATGTTGCTTTATTCATGTACATGTACACATGTACTTGCTATCATTGGAAGTTATTCTTGGAAACAACTACCTTGAAGTAATTCTTAAATTACAGACACTTGTGAAGCTCTTCAGGCAGGCAGCAGTATTTGGGGTAATTTCCTGAAAAGTCAACATTCCTGAAAGTCTTCCTCAATCACTTTCCGCCACTGATTGAGTTTTTAATAGGTGGCTTCCATACAGTACACACCTTGGAAGTCTCGCTCAGAAATGGCGTGGAAAACTGCCACAAAAAAGCATACATGTTTTGTTTGTACAGTTACATGTACACCCTGTACATTGTGTATTACATGAATGGCAACTGCCTTCGACAAAACCTTTGTTGCTTTCATTCACTGCGCTACAAATAATACTGTTGCATTAAAGTAAGGCTGCGACAAGTAGTAGTCGAATACTCGAGTACCCGCATGGTTGACAACTATTCGAGTACGATTTCTCGTACTCGAATATTCGGCCGTAAAAAAAAAAAAAAAAAAAAAAAAATAAAAAATTCCCGGTCACCTGGCACTGTCCAGGCCAACGCTTAGCTGTGCCAGGGAGAGTGGCGGCCGATGGCATGGTACCGTCGGTAAAAATATTTCCCAACTCAAGCACTGTCAAACTCACCACTCAGAAACTGGGACCAAATGTCCGGATTTCTGTTTGGACTTGAAGGAAATGGATTATTCTGCCATCTTTGGTTTTTAAAACAGCATTGTTTACTGTTATTATTATTAAATCGGCACCTTCAACTGCAGCTCGAAGTAAAATTGCATGCGTTTTCGGCGATGGACTTGGGATACTGCTCCAGTGGTATGGTGGTGGCAACAAAAAAATCAAAAATCAAAACAAAAAAAATGATAAAAAAATGATAAAAAAATATTTTTAATTTTTTTTTAAAATTAAAAAAAACATGGCGTCCGAATATTTGAATATTCGCTTGTAAGCCTGGGAGTGTACTCGGGTACCTTATTACACTGTTGTGCACAGCCGTAATTGTTACTATTATTATTATTATTATTATTATTATCAAATAAGCGCCTTCAACTGCAACTCGAAGTAAAACCGCATGAGTTTTCGGAGACGGGCCTGGGATACTTTTACCCTACATGTTTAAAGGAGGCGGATTTGGCAAAACTTTGGCTCAGTCAATAAAGCCTCTGCCTGTCGAACCAAAGATCCCGGGTTCAAATCTCGCCCAGGCTTATGACTGAAGCCTTTGTTGTGGTTTGGACCAAGTGGACGCACGGCGCACGCCTCCCTAATTTATAGCTGATCCAACAAATAGGGGGAAGGGTATTTTAAACTGTTGGGGCGAGTAATCTCTTGGGGCTAGCGAGAAAATAAGTGCATAGATCTTTTCCTTACGTCTAGCCGGACATAAATGTAAGCCCGGGGGCATGGTTCAGGAAAGTGGAAAATGTTGGAGCTAGAATGCAAACAACATTTCAATCACTGTTTTGACCAAGATATTTTTAGAATTTTGGGGGTGCTGCCCTTTGGGGAATATGGAGAAAAACCTGCTTTTTCACATGACACCTCATTTATTGAGTTTCACCTTCAGGATCACGAGCCCTAAAGGTTTGAATTTCAATTTGTTCATAAAATCATTGACCAATTTTGCATGATCTCGCAGTGCACGTACAGTGTAGACTGCATAGGGATGCGTGCAATCTCTATGGGAAGGATTTTAGTACACGACATCGGGTGCGCGATCAGACACCCCAATTCAAGTATGAGAAATCGTACTCGAGTAGTTGTCAACAGTGCTAGTACTCGACGCAGCCTTTAACATACATTGTAGGCAGGATAGAGATTCTACATGTAGTTCAAGACAGTATGGTTCAGTTGTACATGTTCATGTACATGTATACAGTATGTATAGGGACACTGACTTTCCGCGATCACGGAAAACTGCGGAAAACCCCTTTCACCTCAAAACTTTTCATTTTTTAAGAAGAAAATCGTAAAACTTACACTATTTTGTGATTTGTTATGCAGTGATAAAATATTGGGCATAAAATCATGCTAATAACTCCGAATATTTAGCGATATTGGTCAGGTTCTTAAAGTGACTCGGTAACATTGTTGAAGGTTGATGAAAAAAATTGCTGAATTTTTGTATAAAATGTTACTTACTATATTCCTTCTACTATACTAACCCTCTGACATGCAAAAATCCTGAACAAATTCTCAAACCACAAAGATATCTATGGTTTTCTTTGAAGGCGTCGATATGAGGCACCCTCAAGCAGTGATTAACAGTAAATTCTCCCAACCGTTTTTCCATGACAAAAATACATAAAACAGGCTATAAAAATCTGTCAACACTTAACTGTCTGGAATGGAATGTAGAGCCATTTTATTGCTTTGTGACGATTTACATTCACCTAAAATGTAATTAAATTGTCCTTGTCTTGATGCTGAACAAGCTTTGACAAGTAGCAGAATAGAAGTAGAATGATATAGTTGGGAGAATTAAGGAATCGATCAGTTTTTCCCCAATTGTTACCATGAATAATGATCCGTTTTCACTCAAATTTTCAGATTATCTTTAATTGTACATCTAGCATTGAAGTCACTACCTTAGCACCACTATCTCTCATCTGACCAATGTCACAAAGTCCCTTTAAGAGACAGAGCGCTGCAATTTTGATTCGCTGGACCAATAGAGATCGTGACACAAAACATGGTACAAATAGCAGCGAATCGATGCTATTATGCCAGCTACATGTAGGCGCCTAGTATTACGTAGACGTAATACTAGGCACACACACGGCAGCAGCGGGCGCTAAGTGCGGCGAGATTGTACACACGCTGTTGTACAGTTTATGTATGTGCGCCAAAAATCGATCGATCGCTGACATGATAGCCAAGCCTGAAATGTTTTCGTTGACGTTGGTACTACTCAGTCTGTATCTTTATCGTTCCGTCAGGAATGTGTCGTGTTCTGACACAATCCGCTAACTTTAGTCTGCTTGTCTAAGTTCGAATTTGAAGTTGGTAAAGGTAAACATTTGATAATTTTTTGTATATTTTCACTAGCATTTTGCATTAAGTTTATCCAGTCCCGTCCGTATGTTTTTGAGTGGTTATCAGTGGCAAAACGGAATTTCACAGAATTCCAGATTTTCTGAAAAGGAAAAGGTCACTTTTTAAAACGGAAAATCAGTGTCCCTACATGTACATACTATGTAGAAAACTAGATCTGCTCCACACACACACTCGCACTCACACTGACACAGGCACAGCTCATTCTAATTCAACTAGGCCTAGATCTAATTGGCTCCAAATTTGCTTTTATTTGCTGGATGATAGAGTGGCACTAACTTTATGTTATCGTGCCTGGAGAGTGGAGAAGAGAGTAATTTTACCTTTTATTCTAAATTAATTCTCAAAATATAGTCTAGATCTAGAGATGGAACTCTTTCCTAAATCCCCCCCCCCCCCCCCCCCCCTTCTAAATTCCACTTCATCAATGCTGAAAATTCACTGGAACTTGGAAGGACCAGAGTCTAGAGTTAGTAAGGAGTGATATTTATAGTTTTGATACCAAGTCAAAATGAATTGAAAATGGACCCTATAACTACAAGTGAATTCAATTTGATGATAGAGGATGAAAACAGAATGAGAGCATAATTATGAAACAGAGGATGCTGAATTATTACGTTTAGAATCTACTCGCAAGAGCAAGATTCCAACTCACATCATCACCACTGCAATGCCACTGCACTGGAAATTGAAATTGAATCTCAACGAAGATCGCGAACGAAAATGAATTGATGAAAACGGTTCTCTAGAAACCTTATCATACAGTCAAAATATTACGAAAATCATTTCATTCCTTACCTATCGGTCATGGCTTCTCGTGACGATGTTAAAATCCCAGTATTTATCCTATTTAAGGGGTCACTTTGTCCGAAATTATTGAGAGAAAGAGATCATTTTGGACGCCAGTGAAGCTTCCGCCATGTTATTATGGAGATTAACAATATTGGCCATCAGAAACCGTAGATGGAGATATAGCACTTTTTGAATGTTTGCTTTATTTACGTGTGGAAGTACACGCCCACTTGTGTACGAGCTATGTACAGCATTGTATTTTGCTATTATTTCAAGATCTATAGACCTCTAGCCTCTAGGCCTATAGTTTTCGTAATGAGCATAGGCCTAAGGTTCACACTGTATGTGTTTATGAGTAAAAGATCTATTATAAAACGGTTTATATCAGTTACCAATCGCATCTTTTCATAGTTTGTCTACAAAGGAAAGACAAAAAGAAAAAATCTTTTCAGGAAAATATTTTGTAGAGAGAAAGAGAGAGGGAAATAATTCAAAGCTAGATTCCAGTGATAGCCTAATAATGACAGGAAGAAAGAAGAGGGAAAACAAAGAAAAAAAGCGAAAGAGTGATAGAAAAGATGAGGAGGAGTAGGAGGAGTAACAGAGGGAGGTACGCCTAAATAATCATCGGCTTTGCTCACCGGCAAAATGAGCATTTTTTTTAATCAAAATATATGGGCATTTTCCTAAATGACTTCGAGGTTTCTTTCCATTGTTCTTCTCCTTCTTTTGACCTTCATCTTCCCCTCCTCCTTCTTTTAATAGCTTCTTCCTTTTGTTTTTCTCCTCTCTCTTATTTACATATTTCTTTGGCTTCTTCTTCTTCTTCTTCTTCTTCTTCTTCTTCTCCTTCTTCTTCTTCTTCTCCTTCTTCTTCATCTTCTTCCTCTTCTTCTTCTTCTTCTTCTTCTTCTTCTTCTTCTCTTTCTTCTTCTTCTTCTTCTCCTTCTTCTTCTTCTTCTTCCTCTTCTTCTTCTTACTCTTCTTCTTCTTCTTCTTCTTCTTCTTCTTCTTCTTCTTCTTCTTTCTCTTCTTCTTCTTCTTACTCTTCTTCTTCTTCTTCTTCTTCTTCTTCTTCTTCCTCTTCTTCTTCTTCTTCTTCTTCTTCTTCTTCTTCTTCTTCTTCTTCTTCTTCTTTCCCTTCTTCTTCTTCTGCTCTAGCTTCCCCTAGCTTTTTTGTCACATAGCTATACAGTAATATGACGCGTGACAATGCTCTAAATTATAATGTTTTTTTTTTTTTTTTAGCTACATGACTGAGGGACAAACACGGAGAAACATGTTTTGCGCAAGGGATTCTTCTTAATCTGTAATGTATTTAGCTCTCAGAAGAAGTTGAAATCGTTGCATGTTGTTTTTTTCTTGAGCAGAGAAGAAGAAACAGCAAATTATTACGCTGATTCGGTTAAGAAAGGAGTGATATATAGCTATACACAAAACAACAAACTCTTGGCTTCATTTCAGATTCCATCTTGGTTCTTTTCGGTGCACTCCTCCGGAGGCAATATAATAAGGAACATCGCTTTCTTTGAGACTTCACATACTTCTAATGATCTAACATGGTAAGTATTTTGTATATCTATGTATATTTCACGTTATTTTCCACATCTTTCTCATGATAGAAACAACAGCTAAGTCTTATATATTTCCATTTAGTGAAATGTTACTAACCTTATACATAATTATTATCTCATTGAACTATGTATCATAACTGGAGATCAGCCTGTAGGTCCCGTGACCAATCTCTGGAAACAAAGGTTCGAAAGTGGTTTTGTGTTCCCTGATGAAAACTGAACAATTTTGACTTAGGCTGCCCCCTTGAAAATCCCGGGCATTTTCGTGAGGGGTCAACAAAGGTCAAACAGGAATAGAAATTCAAGTATATTGGAATCGTATCGATATGCATATCGAATTACTCGTCTGGTCATGGAAGTAATTATGTTTTGATTTCTTGTGGAGAGGTAAAGATAAAATTAAAAGAAGTACAATGATTTTAGACTATCAGCAGGGTGGGCTCAAAATGATGAACTTTAGGTTGTAAAAGCACAAAGAATAATGTGGATAAAAAGGCTTGTAACAGGAACTCATGATATCAAATGGAAACAATACTTTTAATATTCAATGAGACCGATAGGAGGTAATTTAATATTTTATTGCAATTATTGGAGAGATACAGTGAAACTCATGTTACCTTCCTTTTATCAGAATCTTCTGAAAGTATGGATATATATGAAAGAATATGTTAAAACAGAAGAGAGATACAAAGGGAATGAAATATTGTATAATAATAATTTTATTCAACTAGATGGTCAAACCTTATTTGAGGAAACTTTGTTTTTAAAAAATATATATCGACTTCATCACATTTGTGATGAAAATGGAGAATTGAAACCTAAAGCTCATTTTATAATGTTAGGTTTAAGCAGAGTGGAAATTGATAAAGTAAACAAAATTTATAAAGTAGCCCTTTATGAATGGAAACAAAATTTTCAACCTTTAAGAAAGTCAATTCACACTGGCTTTAGTTTAGAATTTATTTTATCAAAGAAGTGTTTACATTTGAAGATTTAACTGGAAAAATGTTATATAAGAGTCAAATTTAAAAAAATGTAGAAACAAACTCGGCAGGCGGCAATTTAATGACGCTTTACAATATTCCAAGAAAAGAAGTAGAAAAGATATATGTTTCAACCAAGGATGTGTACCTTAAGTAGTAAACTGCGAGAATTTCAGTTCAAACTATTGCATAATATTTTATATACAAATCATCATTTACATAGATTCAGGTTCCATGAAAATGGTTTGTGCTCATTTTGCAAAAATTTTGAAGAAACTTATCAACATGTATTCTTTGAATGTAATACAATAACGGAAGTCTGGGGGAAATGTGGAGATAGACATAATTTACCAATTCTGAAGATATTATCCTGGAAAACAATTCATATAGGAATAGATGACTCTACTTTTAAAACAGAGCAATTATTGAACCACATTTTGATTTTGATTAAAGATATGATTTTCCACAGTAGAGAGAAGGGAAACCCTCCAAAAGCAAAAGAAATAGAATATAGATTGTTGGAAAATAGAAATGAAGAGAAAAAAACTTTCATTGGAAAGAGACACATGCACTTTCAATTCTTTTAAGGAAATGGGAAGCTTGGAAAGTTTAGAATAAATGTTTTCAGTTTTAATTTTCTCAATATACAACTTCCTGACCCTCCTCTCTTCTCTATTTTTTTTTTTTTTTTTGGTATTCTTTGTTGTCTTCTTTTCTTTTTCTTTTACTTTTGTTTATTTGTTCGTTCTATGTTGATGTGTGTTTTGTATACTGTTGTACTTGTTATGTGTTTAAATGTTGTGTGGGGCGGGGGGTAGTAGGTGTTTTCTAGCTCTTTCTCTTTATATATATATATATTTTTGTCTCTAAAGGAAATTGAAGAGGAATATAGGTTTACTGAATATTGTGGAAAAGAAATAATTTGAGATTTATAATCAAACTGGTCGAGAAAATAGTTGTTTTTTTTTTGTGGTGAAACTATAATTTTGTTTATATGAATATTTTTCATCTGTAAATGTGTAACTTTTGTATGTAAATGTAAAAGTTCATTGGCAAATTTATTAAGACCTATGTTAAAATTATGTACATTTTTGGAATCTTCATGTCCAGACGAGTAATTTGATATGCAATTTGATAAGGTTAACTGCGTTGGTGAATTAAATTACCGGTCAAAAGTGCGTTGACCTTTCAACGTTTTTTTACCAAAGCGCCCTCATTTAAGGTCGGAGGTATAACAAACTATACATTTTTGGAATTCATCAGGGAACACAAAAACACTTTCAAACCTTCGTTTCCAGAGATTGGTCACGGGACCTACAGGCTGGTCTCCTACTAAAATTATATGTACAAATGTATTTTTGTTATGTTTATAATTATGTAATGTCCTGCTTTGGCAAATCCATTGTCCAGACCTGGGCCATGTATGCTTTATTATGATATATGCCTGTACAATTTTAACCACGGTCTATTGTTGTGATTATGAAATAATTTATGACTAAGAAGAAGTTGAAATCTCTCTCTCTCTCTTTCTCTCTACACATTTTTTTAATAATATTTTTGTTAAAGATAATGATATGCATAAACCTACTTTCTTGAGTTTTCCCCGAGAACCAATTCCCTTACCAAAAAAACTATGGAACTACCATGGTATGGACCGTATTACCATGTTACAGTACTAGCACAGTACTACTACCATGATACAGACAGTACTACCATGGCTCTATATAATTATGTAGTGTACCATAATAATTGTAATTATATTTACCGTGGCAAAAATACCGTGGTCAAATACCGTGCACCGTTGAATTTTTGTATAAGGGTTACAATAGTCTAAACACTCTTTAAGTTTCTTTCATTTCATATACTCAATATTTAGGGCAAGCGACTGATGAAGATATGGAATCTCATTTGCATCGCCACCTGGATATCGTGTGGTATGTAACCTTAAATCAATGTACCGTATTAAAAAAACCTACGAATACAAAAAAAAACTACCTCGTAATGGCCCTTTCTAGGCAGTAGCTGTTCCGGGGCGGGAGTCCTACCCTAACAAAAAGGGGCGGGGGACAGAGGCGTCGCTAGACCTTTTTCAGTGGGGGGGGGGGGGGGGTATAGAGGCCAACGATTACCGACAAAACTAGCCACCAATTACCGACAAAATTAAATGTTCCAATATCTACAAATTTAACCCTATAAACCCGGGGCCGAAGGCTAAATTGTTTTTCATTTGGACTGTATAGGCCCGGTCACACAGCCTTTCGCGTCTGTATCGCGGGTAAAATTTCGCGATTTTTTTTTGCCCGCGGTTGCCCGTGGTGGAAAAATGTGCAAAATTGGCTTACCCGCGGTTTACCCGTGGTATGCCCGCGGAACAGACGCCGGCGACTGTTCCGCGTCCTTATCGCGGGTGAAGCGCGGCGGTACCGCGGCCTACCACGCTTACACGCGGTACACACGCTAATGCACGTGATAACAACGCGGTACAGACGCGGAACAAACGTGCTATGACCGTGCTCCACCCGCGATTACCCGCTAAAATTTCGCGTCCAATTCCGCGTGTAACCACGTCTTAACCGCGGCCGTAGCACGTCCTAGCA